CTGGTGTTCTTCGTCCCTCTATGGGGGGGCCCCCAGCACACACAGAGAGCGGAGAAAAGGCAGAGCCAGCGGGCCGCCTGGCTGCGTTGGGTTTTTCACGTTTTCGGTTGAGGCCCTTCTGCAGCCCGCCTGGAGGCCCCCCTCGCGGTTGCTGCTCCATTTGCTATGCTAGAGCAAACACTACTGCTGCTGCTACTGCTGCTGCTGCTGCTGCTGCTGCTGCTGCTGCTGTGGTTGCAGCTGTCTGGATTTGCTGCTCTGTAGTTGGCTGTCAAGGACTGAACACAGGGCCTGCAGCACTCCTTCGTGCTGCTTGCTCAGCTCTAGATGAAGCTGCAGCTGCTGCTTCTGGGATAGGGGCAACGGAGCTGGTGCAGTGAAGCTGCTGGCTGCTTTTGTTGCAGCTGCTGCTTCTGCAGCTGCTGCTGCTGCAGCTGCTGGTGCTGCAGCAGCTGCTTGGGGTACACGTGTCTTTGCGATTTCCGTTTTTGGAGGGAGGGTTAAATGTTTTGGCTTCGAAAACCTTATAGTCGCCGGCACCGCCGCTGCTGCTGCTGCTGCTGTTGCTGTTGCTGCTGTTGCTGTTGCTGCTGTTGCTGTTGCTGCTGTTGCTGTTGCTGCTGTTGCTGTTGCTGCTGTTGCTGTTGCTGCTGTTGGTGCTGTTGTTGCCGTTGTTGTTTCTGCTGCTGCTTCTGCAGCTTTCTTCTCCGCTAAGAGCGCTAGTCTTTTGCTGCTTCGAGTCTTCCCGGCTGGAGAAAGGCACTGGATGCGACGATGTTGGGGAGCACGGTGCCGCAGCACGAAGTCCTGCTGCTGCTCTTGCTCCTGCTGCTGCTCTGCAGTGTCAGTCCCCCTGTTCTGTTCAACAGCACTCTGCCGGCGCAAGGCTTCGTACACAAGACTTGGGAGCAAGTTTGTTGTTTGCAGGAGAGTTTCATACGAAAGGTGCATCTGCTCTTGCAGCAACAGCAGAAAGGGCCAGAGCTTGTTAATGCATGTATTGCTGCAGCTGCAGTTGCCGTCTTCACAGGGATCGTTGTCGCTGGTCCTGCTGATGCTCCTGCTGCTGCTGTCGTTGTTGCTGTTGTTGCATGTGTTGCTGCTGCAGAGGCTATTGCTCTCGCTCCTTGTCCTGCTGGAGCTCCGAGAAACTGAATTCTCCAGCTTCAGGTCTTTGTAGAGATGCAGAATNCGCTCCTTGTCCTGCTGGAGCTCCGAGAAACTGAATTCTCCAGCTTCAGGTCTTTGTAGAGATGCAGAATACCACGAAGGGTTTCAACTTGAACGTTTATCTGCTGCAGCAGATTGCAGTGACGACGCGCTGTTTTGCAAGGGGTCAACAGCTCTGGTGGATGAGCCACAGTGTGTGCAACTTCTGTAGCTGCTGCTGCCTGTGCTGCACAAGAGAACAGCTCGCTGTGCAGATGCGCAGATGTATGAAGATTCAGGGGGGCAGAAACAAAACCCTTTCCAGCTACAGCCGGTGATGTGAAAGAAACAGAAACAGGCAGACCTTCTCTTTTCTCTGGCTGCGCGCTGGCCTGTGGAGATGACAAGCCGCGGTCGATAGTTTCGCGCGATATGTGGCGGCGACGGCGCAGCTGAGTTGTATTTTCTGTTGCCGCAACAGCCGGTGGGTTATTTGCTGATATATCAACAGATGCAGTTGCAGCAGAAGAAACTTCACTCCAGTAAGTTG